TGTTAGCATTAGAAATGCACCTTTAAGCTTCCATAGGGCCACAAAGAGGCTTTTCCCACTCTGAAGAATGACTTCAGAATCTGTTGAGAAAAACACCACTGAGGAAATGACAGAAAGCAGCTGGCCCTCTTAACCAATTTCAGAGCAGGAAAGGAATGTCAGCCGAGCATAAAAACGGCTTTCTCTCCTGAAAGACAACACAGCAGCAGCAAACACGTCCTGCTGGGTCGCCTTTTGCAGTTGTTTTCCGTAGAGCATTAGCCAGAGACCAGCAGGCTTAGCATTGTTTTGATGCCCTTGCAACTGGCAGACCGTCTGCCACAGGAAGTTGGAAACGAACTGACCGGCTTTACCCTTCCAGGTGGCACTTAAAGCCACATTTTCTGCGCTGTTGTTATCAGTCATTCAATTCCCTACTGAATATTGAGTGGTGTTTTTAGTTCACAGGCCATTTGCAATGTCTTTCTGTTTCCTTTTTTTTCCGTTAGCCACATAAAGAAAAAAAAAGGCAACTCTGGAAGCACCCCTGCATACGTGAGTTGAACAGGAAAGCGCACAATTGAAAATAACACAGCAAACAGCAATAAACATATTTTAACTTAAGACATTAGGCTATTGAGATGTTACCCTCAAGAGAAATTCATAGAAGGCATCTCATGAGGACTTGCCAATAGAAGCAATGAGGAAATTAGAAAACTCAATTAATCTGGCATCCCAAGGGAGAGAATAAGGTCGTGGTGTTATTTTAAAGCTTTTTATTGATGGGTTCTTTCTTTCTTGGTATTGCTGCAAAGGATAAAAGGAAAAGAAAAAAAGCTTATGGTTTTCTACTGATCATAAATTCAGTTGCTATCTGTAAGTGACTCCTTTATCACAACATTACATCAAACATCACGTAGAACACTGAAGGAGGAAAATAGTATTGGGTGAAGCTAATGTATAGCACAGTCCTATGGAAGAAACAGCATCAGTAGCATTAACCTGTTCTTTCTCTTTGGGGGAACATCTGCAAACTGTAATTAAGCAATTTTCGTTTGTTTCCCTAATTCTTTTGTCATCACTAAATCTACACTTAGGGAATAAATTGACAAATTATGAAACACAGAAAAATGCTGGTTCAGTTGCAGAAGGAAATTTCCTCCCTCAAATCCTGATGGATTTTGAGCTGATGGAACCATTTTGGTGTTAGATATGTTAGCATAAATCTTCAGCTGCAGTTGTTATAATTCATTTTTAGTCTACCCATGCATATTTGGTCCATAGATATTCATTTGTTTTCTGTGTCTGCTGTAGTTAGGTATAATTGGATAAGGAAAGAAAATGTATTTGAGTATTTACAACATTTTGAATTACAATCATTAAATTTTACTTTGGGCGGTGTCTTTAGTGCCTAGTAGTTTGTTACAATGAATACTTTTTTCTAGTTGGTTTTTTTTTTCAGTGAAGAAAGATATTGTGGGAAGTTTCTAAATTTGATTTAAGCGCAAATAAAAAATCATTTTTTTTACTTCTCAATATCTTTTCAACACACACATATATATTTTACAGTATATTTTATACATACATATAAATTAGAGAGGTGAACTTTCAGTAGGTAAATGGAATTTTGAACTTTTACAAAACACAAGCAGAGACCTTTATAGTAACACAAATAAACTTTTAAGATAGTCCTATCAACGTTTAAGTAG